CCAGTTATGAAGGTACCCCGAATTAAGAGAGCGCACGCGAGGATTCACTCCTCCAGCTATTTAAAATCCCACGTATCCAGTGTGGGGAGGTCTGCGCTGCTCCCCTCTCAACACTTGCAACAAGAACCAGAGTGTGCGATTCATCTACTGTAAATAACGCTGCTGCATTCTTCACCAGAGCAGGGAACCAGCACTGTGCAGTGCAATGGAAAACAGGCAAGTAAAAGAGAAAGTGAAGGCATTTAGTGGTGAAATAATGCAGTCCCATCTATGACATCTAACAGCATTGGGAAATAGTTTCAGTACCACTCTACTACTTAAGTTTAAAGGATAAAACGTTTATTTGTGACTGCTTATGTTACACATGTACACTTTAAATGACATTGTACTGAATGGCAAAGTCAAAGCACTTTTTCCCATATTTTAATATGTTTGTCGTACAATCTCAAACACTGTCCCGACACGTGGTTAACCTCAGCCCTCCATGGTCACAAACATGCTTCACACTATTCTCAAGTCTTTTAGCAACTCTGCAATGTCTATATGCGGCCTACGGCTGGGTTCAGTCCCGCTGGAGCACAGTGCACTCTGCAGATTCTTGGCTGCCTGGTTTAAGGATGGCAAAATGTGGGTGGCGTCCGATGTCTCCTTTTCACCACGAGTGCACAGAAGGACTTCATTTATCTCTTCCTCGATCTTTCGAGACAGGATGGTGGGAAACACGCCGCTGACACGCTCAAGCACGCTTTTCCTCAAGGTTGGGTCTCGACATGCAAGGTTCAGTATGAACAGACCTGGCAGGGAGAGATAAAGAAAGGATATTACTTGAACACTAAGCACATAACTTTGATAAACTGTTTGTATCAAAAAGTAACATGTCATGTTTGAGACTGATAAAAGTATGGCTGTTTATTAGTCTATTTTATTTTGGTTGCAAGTGTCACATCAATTTAGCAAAAAAGATTTAACCATAAGAGATAAAGTATTTTAAAATGATTCTGTACCTCTGGGAGTTAGCAAGTTACGGACTTTCTGCAGGATTGGGGTTTCTACAAAGGCAGCAGGAGGACAGCTCATACCCAGAGTGCTATCTTTATTGTCTACATCAAACATGATGGCATCAAACAAATGACCACCTAGAGAAAAGGAAAAAAAATAAAACAAAACATACTTTATTTTTAATACTGATGAACCATTATATTCACTGGATTACTTTTAATTGCACTGTAATCCACACCCTCACTGACCTTCTTTTTCCAGTGCACAAATGCGTTCCAGACCATCCCCAAGAGTGACAGTCAAACGGTCATCTGGTTGAAACCCGAACCATTGTTTAGCCACCTCCAACACAACTGGGTCTAGTTCCACAACTTCAATAGTTACATTGGGCATAAAGTCCCGCAGAAACTGTGGAAGGCCTCCTCCACCGAGCCCCACCAGGAGCACTGACACTGGGATGTCTAGGAAGGATTAGGGAATGAAGTTTAATTGAATGTGATATTTTAGAGCAACTGAAGAGTGATAAATGCATGAATTACATGATAGGTTCTTCCTACATACACACACCTTTGTTCTGTGGCATGCCCACGCCAAGCATAGCAAGACAAGCCACCATGACTTCATGGTGAGCACAGCAGAGGAAGCCACTGTCCACAGTCATGGAGGTTGAAGATGCTACTGGAGCTGCTGATGCCTTGGCCTTCCTTTTGTTCTTTTTCTTCTGACTTGTCGCTGCCCAAATACAAAACAATAAAATTAAGAGCTGTACAACTTCAACATCTTCTGTTTTTTCCTTTTGCGTTTTGGTTTGCTCAGTTTCATGCATTCTGGTATTAACTGGTAATCTCCCTATACTGTATGTCTGTGCATCATTGGTTGTGCTCAGTAGGTTAATTATTTACTTGTAAAAAGACCATTCATAAAAATACTTTATTATTAAGTGAAACAAATCAGGAAAGTACAAGACATTACCTGTATTTGATGAGACCAGACGGCTCTCTGATTGGACAAGGGCAGCATTAGACAGGAAAACAAGTCGGCGATACAGTTCTCCGTCCTCTCCTTTGACATTCTCCACGCAATACTCCCCACTCAGCTGACTCACTCCCCTGCTAACCTCCTCTCGCCAGCCAAGGTCACCTCCCACAGACAGAAATGGCACCTGAAAACGGGGAAAAGAGCACAAAGGAAAGTGCTTCTTTAGACTGTTAATATTTTACATAGCATGTTTTTAAAAAGGGATGCTTATGAGTGGTTACCTGGTGGTTGGCTGGCATACCCGGGGGAGCCAGGTCCATCACCACTGGTGAGAGTTCTGACTGGACAGCTTGCATCTCTGTGTACTCCTGATTCCTGTGCATTGATACAATAACCAAGCGCCGAAAGTTAGCACTGGCTGCTAGCTGCCTCCGCCCCTCACCAGAGCTGTAGAGCCAGGCTGTCTCACTCCCTTGAGGAACTGACAAAACAAACAACAAATCAAAGGACTAAATACACCCAGTTCCATTAGAAGGCAGAAACTTGATGAATTGAAGCCTGGGCTCACCGATAAATATAGCAAACTGGTTTGCTCTTGGAACCTTAGCACCTGGTGGAGAATCTTGTATTGTAAGAGTGTATCTGGGAAGGCCGGTCTTTGCCTGGCAGAGCGTGAGCGAGAGGTTTGAGTTGGCATCAGTGTTCGTCCGGAGCCTCTTTCTCAAGACGGAGTAAGCCTGATGCTCCCTCACAGCTGACAACAGTTCAGAAACATGCGTGTGACGACCAGGGGCTCCATCCTCTCCGAGGCACATCTCAAGAATGGGTGTGGGCATAGGCTGACGGAACTTGGTGCAAACCAGAACAAAAACAGGCAGAGCAAACGAGTCTTCCTCTGTCCTGTTTTCTTCCTGCAGGCAGTGGAGCCTCACTGCCCAGCCGAGCTGAACAAAATGCTCCACAGCCAACTTGATCACGCTCTCCTGAGCCAGTGTCACACAGACATAACGACCCCCGACACTTAGCACACGACCCACCTGGAAACACAAGAAAAATACAGTGAAGTTCATGCAGAGGTGTATATTGATGATGCACAGCCTGATCAACCTGCTTCTCACCTCTGTGAGCATGTTCCTGGCCAAAGCTCCTTCTTCTTCAGATGCCATAGCATCTAAGGTGCCCTTGTCCAGAGCAGCCTGATAGCTTGCATCCTCATATGGAGTTTTAGTAGCATCCACCTGATGGAAGGTAAGGCCTGGCCTGCGCTCAGCATTTCGCTGGTTCATGTTGTTGACCACAGTCTCACTAATGTCTATATTGGTCAGATGCTTGTAGCCAACATCATACATCTGTTCACTCAGCTCAGAGTTACCACAACCAACCACCAGCACCTGAAGGACAGAAATAAAGCCTAGCGGTCACTTATCAAGGCAAGAAATATACCAAGGCACAATCAGTGTTAGCAACACCCAAGTATATAAACATTTCAGGAGGTGGATGATTTGGTAAACTTTTCTTCTTTGCTCAGCTTTCCTATTTAGGTGTCATCAGAGCAGATGACCTGCTTCCATCTCATCCAGTCCCTCACATCCTCCTATGTCCACTTTCACTACATCCATGAACCTTCTCTGAGGTCTTTCTCTTTTCTTCCTGCCTGACAGCTTCATATTCAGCATTCTTTGTCCAATATATCCACCATCTCTTCTCTGTAAAGGTCCAAACCCGTCCTTGCTTCTCTGACTTTGTCTCCAAACTGCTTGACCTGCGTTTTTCCTCTGATACACTCAACTCTTCTGCCTCCAGCTCGGCCTCCTATCTTTTTGTTAGCGCCACTGTCTTCAGAATATACATCATAGCAGGTCTCAGTCCTATCTTGTAAACCTTCACTTTCATTCTTGCTTTCATAATTCTGTTAGAAATTACCCTGAAAATTCTCCACCCCACTTCATCTCTCTTGTGCACTGTTCATTGCCCCCAACTTTTTAAACTTGCAACCTTTACGCCTCTTCCTCTTTATACCTATCTCCCTCTCACTCACAAACATGTATTCTGTCTCGTTTCACTGACTTTCATTGGGCTTCTATCCAGAGAATACTGGATCTCTCAAGGCTCCCTCCCGTCTGCATCCCTACTCTCACCACAGGTCATGTATCTGTCTGTCATCTGCAGAAATTCCTGCCCGACATCAACGGTCAATCTATTCATCACCACAGCAAACAAGAAGGGGCTCAAAACAGATCCCCGATGTAATCCCACCCCCACCTTCAACCAATCTGTCACCCCTACCGGACACCTCATATATGTCTGCATTACCCTACCATACTTCTCCTGACTTCCTCACATAGTACCACAGTTACTTTCTTGACTCCCTATCATATGCTTTCTCTAAAGCACAGTGCTACTCCTTCAGACCTTCTCTATATTTCTCCATTAAAACACTCAAAACAAACATTGCCTCTGTAGTGTTCTTTCTCTTTATAAAGGCATACTGTTGCTTGCTGATCATCAGTTCTCTCCTCAATCTTGATGATCTGGCACATCAGCTCTCTGTAGTTACTGCAGCTCTGCATATCACTGTTGCTCTTGAAATCATGTGGCAAACTAAATTTCTTAATGCAGTATTAAAAGAAACAGTGAGTGTTTCGCCAAACCCCTTCGTCACCCAATTTACCTTATCTTGGACTTTGATGTATTTGTGCAGCACACCGCACAGTTTGTTGTAGTCTCCATACCATTCAAAAGCCTTCTCCCCTCTCTTCTTAAAAAACTTCTCCCAGTACTCAGCAGAGCTGAACTCCTCGGCGGTGCGAGGTAAAAGACTCATGGTCGTCTGTGATGGTTCAAAACGTTGCAGATTTTACCGTAACTTTACCTACAGCCACTTCTACACATGGCACTTGGCTCTGATTTCCACCCGGACAACATTGCTTCCAGTACCGCTTGCTGATTGGTGGAGTGCCCCTACAGATTTAACGATGATTGGCTGAGGCTTTCAGAGTTGCTGTTATTGGTCGCTGCATATGTGGAAGTGCTCGGTTCGCTGTTGTTAGTCATCCGGGTTCAATTCATCATGGCGGTACCCGCTGGAAGGTCTGTGGTTTTCGTGACAGGGAACGCAAAAAAACTTGAAGAAGTAAGAAACAAATACTTCATACCTGAGATGGATTGTATGTTTACGGTCGGAGTGGCCTTTCTAATCCGTTCCAGGAAGAATATGTGTTCATTTAACGGTCCTTTTCATGCTGCATGTTGAGCTAGCTAGTTAAAGTGAGATTGAGACTGGAGCAGTAACTTAATCCAGAAATCCCTTGTTTCGTTTGCCACAAAAAGGCCTCACAAGATTTATGAAGATTTATGCTTCGTCTGCTTGTTTGTGATCCATCAGGTCATTCAGATACTGGGCGACAAGTTTCCCTACAAACTAGTGGCGAAAAAGATCGACTGTGAGTATCAAAAGTAACACCACCGGCTAAAGAAAAATAAATACATTAAAATTATGTGGTCATTGCTTTTGCAAAATTTTCTTTATGCAGTGCCTGAATACCAGGGAGAGCCAGATGAGATCTCCATACAGAAGTGTAAGGAGGCTGCACGACAGGTACAATGTAATACCACTGCCATATCACGTATTAATTAAAGACAGTGCCTTAACACCCCCGCCCCCCCCAATTCAGATTGATGGACCAGTCATAGTAGAGGACACCTGTCTATGTTTCAGAGCTTTGGGGGGATTACCTGGTCCTTACATGTAAGTCAACTATCTAAAGTATGTATTCAATGGTATCATCTTACATAGTGATAGTGAGCGTCAATTTTAAAACAAATATTTGTTTCCATAGTAAATGGTTCCTGGAAAAACTCAAACCAGAAGGTAAGTAATGAAGTAAATGCTATCTAGAATGTGTTGTTTAAACAAACGTATTCAGAGCTTGATGAGTGCTTGATAATCAAGTTAGGAAATCCCAGAAAGTTGATTCAGTTCATTTGAGCAGATTGCTTTCAATTGGAGAAACCTGTCATCCCTTATCCAGATGACTTCACTGCAGGCTCCCAAACCTTATAGACAGTACGGTTGCATAAAGATCAGCACCATTGCTTAACAATGACTCACGTGACCAGATATGCCAATTAGAATTTTTTTTCACTTCATTCATTCATTGAAAAAGAATTTTCTTCAGAAAAACCAAAGAACTGATGGCTAGTTGCACGGAAGTGTTACCTGAACAGGCCAGAACTTGGCAGTCTACACTTACAAGCCAGAGGCCAATCTTTTGATGAAGATGTGCAGATTCTGGACAGGAAAGAATGAAGGTTTGAGCGAGGAGGGCATTGATATAAAAATAGAGGCCCCCTTCCTCAGTTCTAAAAGTACATCTCCTACCATCTTACAATGCCGTGATTGGAGCCATTCCCCAGTTCTTTGTTAGTAGTACTCATGGCCATTCATATTTGCATATCAGCAGTCATCAACTGATCATGTGGCTCATTCTTATGCAAGCACCTTAATAGTTACATTTTACAATCTGTTTATAAACCTGCAGTCAGTTGATACTGAAGAAGTCGCACGGTCACTTCACATAAACCAAATCAACATTCTGGTATTATGCAGAGCTTCTTTAGAAAAACTAGTCTTGACTTTTGAGGGGTGTTGTGTTTTGTTTTTGTTTTTTTTTGTTTTTTTTCTTTAAATTATTATTTTTAAAATACGTTTTAGGTTTGTACAAACTTCTAGCTGGATTTGAGGATAAATCTGCATGGGCTCTCTGCACTTTTGCGTACTCTGCTGGGAAAGATGAACCCATTCAGCTCTTCAGAGGGAAAACAGAGGTCAGTCTGTCTCTGTAAATCTGTCCTGGTGTTTGTGCTTTTGTGCGTGTATTTTGAATTGACTCCTGTGGTATTTTCAGGGGTGCATTGTAGAACCCAGAGGGCCTCGAGACTTTGGCTGGGATCCTTGTTTCCAGCCAGATGGATATGACAAAACGTAAGCAAAACAATTTGCATTTCCCCCTTTCGACCAACAAGGGGAGCCAGAGGTTAACACACTGCCTCTGCATTATCAACCATACAAAATCCTTTTTGCTTCATGCGGTGCACTTGGGATGAAGTATTACTGTTATTATTTAACATTTGTATCAAATAATAATTTTCACTACTAATTTCTTCTCACTTCTCTGCAGCTATGCTGAACTGCCCAAAGAAGTTAAGAATTCAATCTCCCACCGGTACCGGGCGCTTGCTGCCATGTCTGAGTATTTCTCGCAAACCAACAATACCTCACCACAGACCAAGAAGAAGAAAAAGGAGGAAGACTAAAGATAACTTTTGCTCCAACTTCAGGCTTTGAAGTTGCAGTATTATGCATCAAATATAAAGGGAGAAAATATTCCTTAGTAAGACACTGTTTGTTAGCCCAGAAAAATACAAAAGATAAAACATTTTTGATGCATACCCGTAGTCTCTTAAGCGGGCAAAGTGCTGCGTAATATCTGTTTTCTCTTATTTTTTAATAAATGTTTTTGAACAAATGCAATAGTCCATGTGAACATTTCTCTTTGAATATTACCTCTTGGATACTCTGAGACAACCTTCTGAGTTTTTGCTTCCAAGGACTGACAGAGATAGACTGAGGAAGAGTATAATTCATAAAAAACAAGAGCTCCAGGGTCCTGATGAGAGCAGCAGACTCCTCTGTGGCTGAGACTGGCTCCTGGATTTGGGGAGGGAAGCACAGGGCTAGAGTCCAGAGAGGGGAGGGTCCCTGAAAGGGAGAGCGGGGTGTTCAGTACAAACACCACAGTGATAACAAAGAATCTTGGGTTATAAATGACCCATGAAGTGAAAGCCTCCAAGCAGGAACTATGCATACACCTGTGACTAATATCTCCCACATGTATTGAATCAGTGATGCATGCTTCCACAGCAGTAGAAGCATGTGTCTACTTCTACTGTTACCAACTGTTTAATCACTTCAATCACTTGAATCAGTTGTGTATTGTTCTCACTTATCTTTCCTACATGAAGCACTGCACACTGTAAAATTTTCCCATCTAGTTAATAACATTGATAATCAGTAAAAGTAACAGTTTCAGAAATAAAAGTGCAAACACCGGACCGACCACCCTGTTTCCCTAGACCTCTGACTCTGATTTGGGAGTTGAAATAACAAGTTGCAAAAACAAAAAAAGAACATGGGAGCTGTTTTGTTCTCGTCAGGAAACATTACCAGTTTTTCCCAGAATACGAAGTCTGCCTGCCAGGCTTCAGGTTACTAGAGGTAAAAGACAAAACAATTACTGTAAGTGCTGAAGCATTAATCAAAGCCCCACTGTCTGTGTGAATGTTGGATCATTTGAAAGGTATGATAAGGGCATGATACCTAAATTTCAATACACTGTCCAAGCCTACTAACAGGAACAATATTCATGATTTTAATATGATACAGTTTTTGGTTGATAATGTGTTATGTCGTCCCTGGGGTCTATTTATGTAGATTTCTAAGTGTCTTCAGCGTCATATGTAGAAATCTCACAATATATTTCATTCACTCCACTTTACTTACTTTAGTACTACTTGCAGCTCATTTTTTCTTGCCTTTTTTGTACTAAAGAGTGTCTGCAGCACTTAAAAAATCTGTTTCCAAGAAAAAGAGTTCTACTCCTGGTACCATCCAAACTATAGAGATTAATAATGCCAAAGTTTCTGAGTTTTCTTAAAAAGCCATTCAGATTTAAAGTTTTTGGACAGAGTTTTAAAAAAATGTTGTAATCCAGATACTGATTTCTGGAATAGGAAAATAAATAAATAAAAGAAAAAAATATATATATATACATATATATATATATCTCGTGGCTCAAGAGTTGGAAGAAAAGTGTCCGGCAGCCTCGCCTCTGTCAGTGCGCCCCAGGGCAGCTGTGGCTACAATGTAGCTTGCCATCACCAGTGTGTGAATGGGTGGATGACTGATTGTGTAAAGCGCCATTTGCCATTTACATATATCTATTCTTTTTTTAAAATTTGTGACTATATTTCTTATATTTCAATTTCCTTTACCATGGTAGAAACAGACAATGGTTCTTTTGTTTGAAACTGACTCTCACTCATGTGCATACGACAAGCATTGCAAGCCAAAAACCTGGAGACTATAGAACTTGCCCAGGAGCCCGTCAGTAGTAGGCTTTTTTCCAGGCACTGAAAGCCCATGGTAGCTGGAAAAGCGTCTCCTGACATGACCTGCAAATCAAATACCTTTCCCCAAAGCCCTCATGGGGAAACACAGGATGTTTTCATTCTTTATTACAAACAGAACCAACACAATGCTTATTCAAGGAAACTTGCTGTTCTAATAAGAGAGTATGCTTTGGTTAAAGAAGGAATGTGCTGCTTAGGGATCACTGAGAGGAAAGGACGCCTGACTTTACGAGATTCTTAATCAGTCGTGGTTGTGCCAGAGGAGAGGGAGGGCTTGATGTGGCACTGGGGAGACAGACTTTACTTCATTTTTATTTGTTATGCACGACTCACCTGAATTCTCCTGCTGTGACAAGTTTTATTTAACAGCAGATTCAAGTTAAAAATATTTTTTTCTTCCTACAATAACACGTGTACCTGGAAAAGGCTTTGATTATACACCACATGACTTACAATGCTGAAATCTAAAAAAAAATCTGACTGCAGAAGGACACTTAATAGAGGCCATATTCCACTCTATAAATTTGGTTTCACCAAACTCACTCTTGAATGAAGTGTCTCCAAGGGCTTTTAGGGTTCAGACTAATGAATTAATCCACCATGAGGCCACTGGTGTGCATGATGGAAACAGTTGACCTAATACATATTCCTGCTGGGACTGCTCCTCTCTGTTTTCACTGTTTATGACAAAACCATGGAGCTCTCTGTGGAGGCACAGAGGGCTCCATGAATATTTTCCTGTTTTTAACTTCTCCAGAGAGATGTTGGGATCTAATTTTAGCCAAAACCTTCTGACTTGTACAATGACTTTTGGCACTACTTTTATCACCACTGTACTGTAAAAACAGCCAGTATAAAGAGCATATCAGAAGCTGGATGTTACAAACTTAAAATCAAGTAGTCCTAAGGGGAAGACTGCAATTTATACATAAGAATAAGGTATTTCTCTTCGTTAGTCATTTCTAATTTACTTGTGTCTTGTCTGAAACAGGTCTCTCTTGTAAATGAGACACTGAGTCTCAATAGGACTACTTGTATAAATAAAGTTTAAATTATTAATCCTTTATTTATCCAGGTAAAAAATCTCATTGAGATTAAAAATCTTATTTCCAAGAGAGACCTGGCAATAAATAAAATAAATAAGTCTGCATAAAACATGCTTGAGTACAACAGCAGTGTTTTAGAGTAAAATACAGAGAGAATGAGACAAATAATTCCAGACATGTATAATAAAGTCATTAATTTTTTCAACATTTAATTGTTTTTGTTTCAGCCCTTAAATTAAAGTTGATTTTGAAATTTTATCACCTTGTAAACATTTCAAGACCCAACTGTACCTTTACGTGGAAAGGAAATGTCTTCAAATGAACGATAACTTGCTCATATTAATCCAATATGTGAGATTTACTACAGAATATAGTGGCATGGTACATACCAATCATTTGAACTTTAAATAAAACTAAACAATAGTTCAGTTTTTAAATAGAACAAAGCATAACAGGGACTCCTGTGTTTCAGGGAAGAAGCATGACTGCTGCTCTCTGAAAACTTTATTTGCATCAAAACATACATCTGACTATATCTCAGCCCTAAAACAGACCATAGCATTGACGCCATGCATAAAATATTCTTAAAATATGTAATTAACTACTGAACTGATTGAGAGATTTAAAAAAGTTTAACTATGAGGTTATTCAACAAAGCATTTCCCTCCATAATAGCACTTTTTTTAAAAAGATAGCAACTGCATTATGGTATAGGGGGAAGGTGGCTTTAAATAAAGGGTCTATTCCACCGGTGGAGATGTGTTGTGTGACATTTGATGCAAACAGAATAAGCTCAGAATTTCAAAAATATAGTCTATAACCAGCCTGCCTTTTAAAAATGTTGTTAATGTCCCCCAGGGAGAGAGACCGAGAGACACCACATCATAAAAGTGGACTTGCTCTACCCGAAGAGCCCAGGGTTATGCAGAGTCAGAGTCTGTACGAGGTGCTGAAAGTCCTTCACCATCCAGGGCTGTTGGTGTGTCCCCACTGCACAGGCACTGCTGCTCTCAGGGCTGATACTCTGCGGGTCATTAAATGTTATGAGGACATCTGTGGAGAACTGCGGCAGACGGAACAGGCCCAAGTGGATGGTCACTGAATTCCTTGCTTCTTCATTGAACTTAGAGACGCACTGAGTCCCAGACAGCATCCACGCAGTGCTGCACTCTGACAGGGACAGCTCAGATTTGGGCAGAGCCACAACACTGGTCACTTCAAAAGCCCCCGGCTCCAAAGCTTTGTTGCTACCCGCGATGTCCTCAAAGTGGTACCTGGCTGCATCCTGGTCAGCCACCTGACCCTGGTACTCCACCAACTCGACGATCAGGCTCTGGTCTGTGTGGGCGTGGGCAAACACCTCCTGGTTGTCCGGGATTTCCCTCAGCTCGCTGATGTCTGTGGCGCTGTGAGGGATCACAGCTGACAGGGCTCCTCCAAACAGAGGATGAGCCTCGTTAGCGCTGCCTGCTGCACTCTGCATTTCTCTGTGAAGCCTGTAAACAGAAAGAAACACCACAGGTGAGACCGTCTCCACCCATATAAACACCACCTACTTAACAAAAATTGTAAAGGAAAAAAAAGAAGCTTATAAACGCACATCTGCAGCTCACCAACTCACCTCCCACTGCACGCTCAATGTGGTTCCGGTGAAAACTTAATCTTCTTCTTGCGCGTGTGGCTTTTTTTGCCATTATAACAAACACGCTGCTGCCACCTACAGGTGTGGCAGACCTCGACAGAGACGATTTCGCAGAATAAACTTAAAAAATAAAAATCTAAAATTTCTGATTTTGTTTTAAAGCTCATAACATACATAGCAAAAAAAAAAGAAAAAAGAAAGAAAGATATAAGTAGGTTTAATTCGAACATTTAAATGCTGAATGTCCAAATGACGTACATGGACGTTCAACAAAACAAAGTTCCCAATATATTATTCATCTGCATAAAAGTAACACAAATTTTGTGCTAAAAGGATAAGTATAAACTTATATGATCCCAGTCCTGCTTTGTGTTTCATAGCCAGATTCAACTTTCTTTCAAATGACCTGGAAATGACACAAATGACAAATGACACAAATAAACAAAAGACTCCCTTAACGAGGTAAAAAGATGGATAAATTGATTTACATTAATTTTTTTGTTGCATGAATTGATTAGGTTCATTAATAATCAGCAGCCATAACTATGCAGTTTCCACAGGTCTTTTGTTCCAATTTGAAATCAGACTTTGCCTTTATGTGATAAATTACACCTTGGATACGGATTCAACTTTTTTTTCATCTTTTTTTGGGAGGGTGGATTGTACCTTTAAAAGATGTTGGGTATATTAATTATGTTTGGTCTCAATTGGATTTGTGGGAAAGAAACGACTCAGTCTTTTCCTTTGTGAGTAAAAATAACGTATTTTTTGTTTGAAAATGTGAAGTTGTCAGTGTTATCAGCTCAACATTTTTAAGCAACCCAAATGTAACAAGGAAGAAAGCATGTACAGAAAGAGCGGAAGAATCTGTCTATTTATAGATCAGCTAAAACTTATTTTATCGTATTTATTTGAAGAAACAAGTGGTAATACCCTTGGCACAATTCTCTGTCTCAGCACTGGTGATTGTTTGCAATAAATAAGGTAAAGGCACCATAAATACATTGGTAAAATTATTTGTTTCTTTGAAGAGACCAGATTTTTCTTCTTTCCAAAAATATATCACTTTGATCCCATTTGAACTTTCTGTGTAGAAGTGGAATATTTACTGCATAAAATAATAATGGATTGCATTTATATAGCGCTTTTCGGGGCTCTCAAAGCGCTGTACAATTCCACTATTCACTCACTCTCAAAAGAACGTAAGGTAAAACATTTTCCGCAGGCCGTCAAACATCTGCGGCATTCTCTCCTCCTCCTCCACCAGCTGTTTGTGTTGATTTCCTGGTCAGCTGATTCAGACCGAGCAAAGATAGGAAGAGGAGAGCTGACATCCACAATGATCATCGTGTTTCATGGTCATTGATAGCATTTGCGATGAATCAAACAGATCCGTAAAGTCGCATTAAGCCTTCGTGTTAATTTCTGAGTTTCTGTGTGGAGGAGTTTACCTGCTTCGAGCGAGCGGCGGATCCTGTGGAAAACAGCAGGTAGCCGCGTTAGCATCCTTAGCTTAGCTTAGCTTGGTAGCTAAGCGGCCTGTTTCATACAGGTAAAATAATAAAGAAGAGTGTAACTAAACTATAGTAGCTTTTAAATTGTTTTTCGTATTGTGGAGTTGAAGCTTCATTGTTAATTAGGTTGACAGGAATATTATTTGCTAAGATTTAGGCTGTTAAATAGCTCGACCTGCTAAAGTTGTTGACGGCTGTGATATAATGTTAATTAGCTTATGAGATTGTGAGCTTGAGTGTTCAGTTTTACTCCTTTGCTAAACTGAGGGACCCTTAAAGCTATTACTTTACATGTAATAGAAAAAAGGGGGAAATCGGCCAAGCTAAGGGTTAACCCCTAACCCCAAGCCAAGGTTTACTCATCTGGTATTCCTCCCTTGATAGAAATTGATTGTGGGGTTGATTTTTCATTCTTCTTCTGTTTGCGTAAAGTTGCAATCAATGAATTGATTAGGGTCATTAATAATCAACAGCCAACATTAAGCAATTTCCACAGGTCTTTTGTTCCAATTTGAAATCAAGCCTTTCCTTTATGTAATAAATTACTGCTTTTCTTTCTGTTTTTCTGTTTTTTTAAAATTGACTCATCCTGCTTTCCTGCCTGAGCCTTAACATGTTACATAGATGTAACTCTGGCTTCTTTCTCTTCACACTATTCCTGCTTCAGATCTGTCCCCTGCCTCTCTTCTCTGTTTACTGGAAAGCTCTTCTCCTCTCCTGACCGCTGAAAGGCCCAGTTTTCCAGCTGCAGTGCCAGAAAAAGAATCTGAGAAAGCCACTGTGTCAGAACTAGCTGGATTCAATGGTATAAGTTGTATTGTTGGGTTAGCAGAGGTTCTGTGTGTGTTTGTGATTATATTACCACTGAGGGTCACATGTTGTTTAGTTCAGTGTCACAGAGGCCCTTTAATGAGGCATCTGTGTGTGTTTTGTCTCGCTCTTTGGAGCATGAAACACCCAAACACAGACTCCAGGGTGCATAATTGGAAGAACAGCATGTTTTCCATTTCCGTGTTACATGGAGAGCAATGATGACATTTCCTTTCATATCTAGTGAGACTCAACACCTGCTCCACCAGAAGGATTTGGATTTAAAACAGAAAATAAGATATCTGTTTTTGGACTGTTTTAAAAAAATATTATGTTTCTTGTATATGAGAAGCTGGAAACTCAATATCTGATCCAACATCACATCCAATTACTTTGGGGACTGCAATAATCAGTTATCTTGAGCTACACTCTTGAGAGTCCTAAACCTGATACACTAAACAGGCTATGTAAAGTAAAATAGCTCAGGTGAATAAAATAGAATACAGATGTCTTGCATTAAAGTGGCTCAATATATCCAGAACAATAAGAGTGAAATAAAGTAGCTAAACAAACAAATAGAGTTGTATTGCTGAACTGTGAATTCACATTTAGTCATTTATAATGTTTAGATTCTCAGTATGTTTGTAAACTCTGCATGTGGTTATGTCTGTAACTCCTTTCCTCTTACCAATACTGGAATCTTCTCAATTCAGGTATCTAACTCTGTTTTAAGTTCTCCCACAGTGTGGTAAAGCTTCATTGATGATTTTTCTTCTCCTGCCCTACAGAGGGAGCCAGACCGGGAGGAGCAGCCTGAAGACAACATGCCACCGAAGTTTAAACGACACCTCAACGACGATGAGGTCACGGGATCCATTCGCAGCGAGAGGGTGAGACACAAATAGACATGAACGAGCTGGTGCTTGGCATTTGGGTTTGCAACAAATTGCATCTGCAGTTAGAGAAGTAAAGTAGGGCATGTAGTATATTTTCTTAACCACTTATACCATTCATGGTTGGAGAGAGATTGAGCCTGTTCCTTCAGATGTTAGGCAAGAGGGTATTGGACATGCCGGACTTCAATCTCATAGGGTAACACATTACTTTTACTGTGGATTGACTGATTGAGCCCATCCTGAGCGAGGAAAAAGCCCTGTATCAGATGTAGATTTTTCCAAGTTTATTTGTCAGATTAGTCATAATGGAAAAACAACAAAAATAAGGGGAGAGAACCAAAGCGACTTTTTTTTTAAGGGGTGAAGCTTTAGAAACTGCTACGGCCAAATGTCTGGTCCTCATCAGGTTGATCATCCCGTCCCACGCACCTGCACCTCCCCTGTCCTCCCTCCTATTCTTTATTGTGTTCATTCCTCTGTGTCATCCTGTTTGTTGTTGTGCTGAGCTGAGATCAAAGCAAAGCTTACCGGGAGGCTTGCATAACAAAATAACCTCCCATGCTTTTCCTTCAGTGCCCGGCCTCCTGTCTTACAATAATTGCTAACAGTTTCCTTCACGTCTGCTGTCTCAAATGGAAAGAAAGAAAGACGTTTGTGCAGAAGGAGATTGTTAGTGCCTCAACTTATAAAGCATTTTATGATCATATGGCCACCATTCCCACAGATTTTTTGCAGATGCCGTGTTATTTACAGGAGAATAAATTGTATTGGCTCGACATTGACTGGCAGAATTGACACTACAGTGCATCCATAGGCGCCGCAGTTATTAGAAGGTGAATGCCATGGCTGAAAGAATTGAGATTTTAACCTTGGTTACTGCTAAGGTAATGAAATTCAAATGTAATTGATCTTTCTCATAAAAATTCCACACTGTTGGGTTTTAATATCGATTACCTTTCTTGTGTAGTATCTAGTAGCAGTGGATAAAGTCCACCTGCCTTCAGTCCAATAAGAAACAGACTCGTTCTCTTCTCCTGTGAGAATTCAATGCAGCTGTCCTCACTTATTCTTTATAATTAACAATTTACACCAGAGTGCTTTTTGCCCTGATTACAGCCAGCAGTGGCTCAGACTTGTCGTCACTGCAGGGATATTGTGGCGTAATTCACCGTAAGATGCCAGACAGTTTGTCCCATCCTTTTCTTTTTACTTTTTTATCTGATCTGTAAATTTTTATGTTGGATTCTCAGCATACTGATTGTCCATCCATTCATCCATTTTCCTCCACTTATCCGGTTCGCTGGGGTAGCAGCCTAAGCAGAGCCACCCAAACCTCCCTCTCCCTATCCTAGTCCTCCATCTTATCCAGGGGAACACTAAGGTATTCCCTGGCTATCTGAGAGATATAATCTCTTCAGTGTGTCCCTGGTCTACCCTGTGGCCTCCTTCGGGCAGGACATGCCTGGAAAATCTCACACAGGAGGCATCCCAACCACTTCAACTGGCTCCTTTTGATGTGGAGGAGTAGCGTCTGTACTCCGAGCCCTTCTTGAATATAAAGAAGAGGCCAGCCACCCTTGAGAGAAAGCTTACTTCTGCCACTTGAATTCACACTCTCATTCTTTTAGTCACTATCTAAAGAGCATGACCATAGGTGAGGGTAGTGATATAGCATAATGATCGTCCTGCTCTGAAACCATTTCACTCCAGTGCTTGTGTAATGTAGTGGCTGCTCTCACACATCACATTCTTAGATCAACAGACTTGAACTTTTATTGCTGCACACTGTGACGACTGCCCACCTG